AGGATACAAGTCTTCTTGCGACAATCACAGAGGAATAAGTCTAACTAATCTAGCTTCTAAATTGTTAGCCTCGTTTATATTTAAACGCCTTACTAGTACTCGTGAAGAGCGGACTTGAGAAAACCAGGCTGGTTTCAGACCTGGACGTGGTTGTGTAGACCCCATTTTCACACTACGACAGGTCCTGGAACACAGACACACATTTAGGCGTCCTACAATAGTTGTTTTCCTGAACCTAAAAGCGGCATTTCACTCTGTAGATCGTGAGGTTCTGTGGCAGTGTCTGTCATTGAAAGATGTACCAAAGAGGTACATTAACCTCATACAAGCTCTCTAATCGAACACCACTGGTCGAGTGAGAGCTTATGGCGAACTGTCATCGGAATTCTTCACTTCAAGTGGTGTCCGTCAGAGATGTCCACTTTATCTATTCCTGTTTAATTTTATCATAGACATGCTCTTAGAAATAACCTTATCCTCATCTGAATTTGCAGGAGTAGACCTTTTACCAGGTGGCTCGCTTATTGACTTAGAATATGCCGATGACATTGTCCTACCTGGTGAAGACGCTGACAAAATGCAGAGTCTTCTGACTACCCTTAGCAACAATGTAAGCATGTTCGGGATGCGGTTCTCACCCTCGAAATGCAAAATGTTGCTTCAGGATTGGGTTTCATCGGCACCTGAACTAGTGATAGGGAGTGAAGTAGTCGAACGTGTAGACCGCTCCACTTGTCTTGGGAGTCTCACCAGTGCTGATGGCCTGATGACTGACGAAATCTCGGCACGGATACAGAAGGCTCGATTGGCTTTTGTCCACCTGCGTCACTTATGGCGTAGGCGAGATATCCGTTTGCTGACTAAAGGACGAGTGTACTGCGCAGTGGTTCGCTCCGTCTTACTTTATGGCTGTGAAACATGGCCAATGAGAGTAGAAGATAGTCGTCGGTTATTGGTTTTCGATCAAAGGTGTCTTCGAAGCATTGCTCTGATACCGTGGGACAACCGAGTGAGCAACGCTTTTATTAGGAATCGGGTGCTAGGTAAGGATGGCAAATCAATAGATGAAGTAATGAAACTTCATCAGTTGAGGTGGTTGGGACATGTGTTACTTATGTCTAACCACCGACTGCCACGACGAGCTATGTAGAAATCCATTAAGTCACTGACAAGTGGACTGAGTCATGTTGGTATATGTAGGCTACGTTGTCGGGGTTCGCAAGACGAAAGTCACCGATGGTTAGAGACCTTGAGTGACATGGCTCAAAATCGTTTGCAATGGTGCAGGTGCATCCACTCTTTGTGTTCTATTTAATTCTAACCTTCTGCATTCCTCGTCATCTCTATCTTTCTCCTTCTAAATTTATCTCACTGAATTATGCTTCTCGAATCATATCTTCGGTCCCTAATCTTCTCCATTACTGCCAATACTTCTACTATCGCTATCACTGTTGTATTGGAACTGACAGTTGCGTCTGTGTGCTGATGTGGTATTGCAACCTGAACTGATGTACGTACCTGTACGAAGTTCTGCGTTGTATCTGTCTGTCTGTCTATCTATCTGTTTACGACAATTAACTGCTGTCTATTCAGACCATGAGTTTTTGAATATGAAGGCGAACTCTACGGGAAAGATAAACGTAGTACACTCCAGTACTCAATGTAGTCTGACTGCTTCTTGGTTCTCTTAGATTTCCTATGCTAGTCCTAGAGTTTTATGCTGCATGCTAATAAATCTTGGACTTTCGAATCTTACGTATATCCACGCTGATAGTAAAGAAAAGATGAAAAAGCTTCTTCTATTCAGTTATATATAAAATACTGTCTTCAATAATCACTGCAAATTAGAGACTTTAAACTTTTAGGCAGAACGATCTCTCTCTCCTTGGATAAAATTAGAGTAGCCTAATTAGGCCGTACGTATGACGGCCATCAAAGAATGTCTCACAGAACGCATGCATATCATCGATCAACAAACAGCTTTCATTTTCTAAAGAGGTACAGTATGTATATAGACGACTGAGTATTTGTACATAATATCCGGTAGCTAAACAGACTTTCCATTCTACTCTTGCCTTCTCATCCAATTGACCAATTTGAGAAGTTAGCCAGTTGTCACGTTCAAATCGTCAACACCGCACATCTTAACAGAAAGCTCAATAGCCAATCAACTGTAGAGGATGAATTTCCACCACAAATACGTCTTCTTTATGTCTCAATTTATTCTCAACTTTAACAGGATTTTTTTAACTTCACATCTGAATAAATCAATTACAAATTGTAGTTTCATTTATGTTTGCTTAATTCAGTTTAAAGAATATGACTTTTCATCATAGAGTTATTGCGATTGTTATACGTTACTGAAAACCTGAATTATTCATTGGTAGACCACTATCAAGAACCTAAAAACATTGAAAGACAGCTGTTTCGTCCTAGTATGGGACTGTTCAGTGGCAGTGCACATTCATGACTCCTGCTACTAACAGGATTCGAACCCAGGACCTTGCATGTGGACACCTCACATTTGCACCACTGAGCAAGGATCCTCCAATGTTGGTAATGTTTAACTCTAATCTCTCTAGGAATTTCACACAACCTCAACCATTTTTCTTCAGTAATTACTGTCTATACTCGACAAGGATGAACTCCTCTGGTCACGTCTTCTCACTAGAACTCTGTGGAATTGATTTCCTCTTGAAGTCAGTCACTAAAGAGTCAGAACATTGTATAACTTTTCATTCAAAGAATTATGAAGTTATCTATTATTTTTAATTACTGAAAATGAAAAGACTTAGAAATTTATTCACATAAAATTACAAAATTCTATTTTATTTTCACCAAAATAAAAAAAATTTCGCAAATATTTCATAAGAAACCAAACTAATCCATCATGACTGATTAGTATGCTTTTCTGTTTGTTTCAAATCAAAAAATATATATACATGAGGTGGGGAGAAAAAAAGATTTTTATATACTACTACTAGTAGTAGTAGCAGTAGTAGTAGTTGTTGTTGTTGTTGGAAAATATATATTTTTACAAATTTCCTCGAGAACAAAAAAACACTAAGGCGAATTTCTCTTATTCTCTCGTCTCTTGAAACGAACTGTTTGTTGTAATCATCATCATCCTCGACCACAAAATGAATGTGAAATAGACAAATGACGAAAATTGAAACTTGAACTGTATGCTTGCATCGAAACACTAATGGTCGATTGATGATTGATAAAATATGTTTCATTGATGTGTTTGTGAATGCAAGTGTAATCGCTTGTTTGATCAGTCAGTGTGTTATGTGTATGATTGAATTTTAATTGAGGGGGGCAAATAATGTTCGCCCTATTTGCACTGCCATGTTTTTCTTTCCTCGCTTCAATCATTTGAAAAGTGGCGTAAAATATTTATGTTGATTGTTCTGGAACAATCCTTCATAAATGTCTTCTGTTTCGATTTTTACAACAGTTCAATTTACATTCAATATACATGGATAAGTTATATACACTAAGTATTTTATTTTTTTTCTTCAAATCTGTTTGTTTATTGAACAATTGAATCGATTAAATGTTCAATTGTAAAATTTGTTTGTTTTAAATATACAAATAGTTTTCATGTTGTTTGTGATGATGCATCTTGTTTTATAGTTAGTTAGTTATATAAGAGGATTGTGGTCACTGGTTCAATTAATTATTGAACGCATCATCAATATTGTTGAATGGGTGTGTGTTGTTGATATGTACATATTCATAGTGGAGTTAATTTTCTCTATGTTACGTTACAGAGATAGTGTAGTTATTTCAACGAATTTTTGATTATTATGGTGGATGGAATCTACAATAATCGAATAGGAAACATGTTTTAAAATAGTAAATTTTGTTGATCAAACTAGCAGAATTGAAAAAAAGTTTTTGGAAAATAAGGTTAAATCATCAAAAAAAGTATTAATAACAACTGATTATTGAGTGATCAATCTTAACAAGATGATTTCTGATTTTTATTGTCAGTTAGTCAATCAGTCAGTCAGTACATTGATCTCGTGTGCTGTTACGGCTATGAGGGTGGATGTCACTTCCCGGTTGCCCACATCAGGGAAGAGTGCGTTTTGAGGAACCTGAACAAGGAAGTTGGATTAGTGTTGGTTTTAGAGACCTGGGAACGTGACCGCACAGCCGAAGTGACAACTGCTTGAGGCAGGTCACACACGGCTTTTTTATAGGAAGTTTGTTAATTGTTGGCTTCGCTCTTCAAATGACCTTATCACGGGAAACGGAAGTCTGTCAGGTAAGGTGAGGTGTGATATGTTTCCGGCCGACCTTTTCTAATTTCTCCCTTCTGTTGTGAGGAGGCGGCATCGCTGCAGATGCTGGTTGTCTGAGGAAACACCTTACACCTCACATCCCTGTAAAATCAGACCTTTAGTTGCTGCTTTCAGCCTAACCGTTCTTTTATCAACTTGCCTAGCTTGGTTGGTTCATCACAATAGGCAAGCCAGATCACCACGTCAATTATGGACTTACAATCCTTGGAACAATGTGGGAATACTGGATAGAGGGAACACAAATAAGCTTGACACTCAGGTCAATCAGCAATCAACAAACACATCGACATTGACCCAAGTTATCAACCAATCAGCAAATCATAAGTGGCATAGGATCAAGAAACACATCACAAGGTAGAGACAATAAAAATAAAGGTGCAAACAACGACAGGTTTAAGGTCAACAGCAACCAATCAAGGTCGAGGTTAACGGAACAGGCTACAGATTAAACGTTGAGAAATTCAAATATTACACTTTACTACATACTGCTGATGATGTTGTTCAGAAGATGAACAATGACAGCTCCACAACCAAAACATCCAGCTCAGAGAACAAAACATCACAACAAAATTATACTACTTATAAGTAGTTTGAGAATATTTGCTAAAAATATTTTACCTTAAGATTTGTTGTGAGTCAAGAGAATTCTGGTTACTAGCATGAAATCAGTTTGTAGGCTTGCAATAGTTAGTTATCTTTCGTATTTATCAAACTATGTAACTCTGTAACGACATATAAACCAAATATATCTCTGTACATATATCGAAAAGAGAAACATACAATTGAAATTACCTAGTGAATTGTCGACTATCTTGATGTACATCCATTTCGGCCATTTTGTAATCATTTAACTCCCTACGAATTTGTGCCTAAATAGCATGTATCAAATAAAAATAAATTTTAATTTTATTAATAATCCCTTTGTAGATTACTTTCTTTACTACTGAAATCACGAATCTGCCATTCTTAAACCACCATTAGATATTTGGGAGCATTAGATGGCCGTTTCGTCCTGGCATGGGTCTCGTCAGCAGTGCACATCCACGATTCCCAGGAAATGTGTAGACGCCTAACCTCTGGACCACTGAGCTGGTATTCAACGACGTTACTGCCTAACTCTGATTAATCTACGGATGAGTCCCATACCAAGACAGAACGGCCGTCCAGTGCTTTCTAGTTTCTAATGGTGGTATAAGAATGACTGATTCATGATTTCAATACTAAACAACAATTTTCATGACTCTATAATAAGAAAATACATTTCTGTTAGGTGGGCCATCGGGAAAAACATTTACACTACCTAATAACTTTTTGCTCAACCTACAGGAGTTAAAAAAGTAATACCCTATAACCTCAGCATCAGTTTCGCATTCATTGATTAGATACATCGTGTCAAAATTTCATTTTAGTTAAAGAAAAGCTTGATAAATATGATGTAAATGAAGGGGATTCAGAGAAACGGTGTTGTTTTTATAGTTAAATTCACGAACTAATCTTAGTCAAACCATCATTAAAAGCCTAGAACACTGTGAAGCAATCAAGTCCTAGTGAAGTGACGGAGAACACAGGAGAGGGCAGCCGAATTGTATTTATCTCAAATTAATTGGCAAAATAGGGAAAACATATCGTAAATCATTCATTTGCAAAATAACAGTTCATCATATAGAACTGAACTGTTCCTGTTGCAAAACATTAATCCATTGTCACTATTCATGCGTTTCATACAATTTCCATTGTGTTCCCGCTCTTCTTCCTTTCTTGATCTTCCCGCATCTTCTGCTGCCAGACATTACGTTGACACCCACGTCATATACTACTTATAAGTAGCTCGCACCACACTAGTATGGAACCCATAAGCAATGCTCATTGGCAACTTCCGTACACAGGAATTGAATGCCGAACCTTCAGTTCTGCATGTGAACGCTTAACCTCTAGACCACTGAGACGGCATTTAATACAGGATATTTTGTTGACTTGATTCACTGTCCTTGGTAGGTAACTGCTTTATACTTGACATGGATTGAACTCTGCTTGTCACTACTTCTCACTAATTCTGAAGGAACTCATTTTGAATTTCGTCGATAGTGAGTATATGATGAGTATTAATGAAGTGGATTTTTGAAAATTGCATCACCGTCATAGTTGTGACTGGTGAAGTTAAATCAGTGACGTAAATGAGATGATTATTCAACACAAGCATGAATGGATGAATGAATGCTTAAAATCATGAATCTGTTGGACATCGATTTAGTAATCTAAAGGTTAAATGTTCACATGAAACGATGATGGATGCATTCTGCTAAGGAGTCTCGTCCTAAAATGAAACGGCTATCCAGTGTCTCCAGATTTCTAGTGTTGATCTGAATAAAGTCAGTTCATGAATCCCAATGTAAAAATGTGGATCTCCTGACAATTACATCCAAGTAATTGTCAACTTATAAAAGTGAGTTTGTAGAAGGTTTCATGTACTTCAGTAAACAAGTGACTGTTGATAATAATTATTTAGTTTCGAAAAAATCGATAAATTACACTGGTAATTTTGCTCAGAACATTTCAGTGTATAATTTGATTCGTCAGGAATCAGCCATGATCACGGTTTCGGTGAATTTTTAAATTTGTACAGCTTGATTATTTTGAAACTCAAAGGTCTCATTATGAAACTTCTCAACAGCATACAACCCCAACGGGAATCAAAATGATGACCACCTACTTCAAAGTTTTAGCGTTTGTTTAACCAAGGTTATTTAATCATACAAACTATGAAATCCAATTATCTTGCCAAAACCCTTACGGTAGAATGTTGATTTGCTTTGGTGTTTCTCCAGCTGATCTCAGTATGTACTGAGTTGGTTGAGAAACTGACTAAGTACAGACAACCACTGTCTACCTTCGACGTTTAATGATGCCTAACATAGGAGTGGGATACAGAAAGGCTAGGATTATCCAAATCAATACATGATATCAAGTTATGAAGCCGCTAATTTTTCGATTCGAACATTTTAGTTGAATACAGACAACCTGGTTGAAACACGTACTACAATTAATATGAGTGAGGATTTGGGAAATGTAGCTCAATATCCTTAACAATGACTGCTGTATATCAATCACTTGATATGAATCACTTTAATCTTACCTTATCTTTTGATGTTAATCTAATCCATGGTTTATCAGCGCTTCGATCACATGGTTCCAATTCTTGTACTTCAACAAATTCAGAAAACCGTAACATAAACATTTCTTGTGTCATATCTTCTGCATAGATATTTGACTAAAACAAAAATAAAGTATCAAAAAGTAACAAGAAGAACAAAACAATGGTGATAAGTTTTTCTAACGCTTGTGTTTTTATTACTAACTGATAGTTTTAATCAATATTTTTCTGATTGATGTAGTGAACCAATCAGAAGTGGCCTTGTGAGAAGGTCATTTGATGACCAACAGAAAATAACCTAAAGGGCGAATGCATATTATTGGTCAGTAATTGAGCTCATCTTGTAAAGAGTTAGTGTTGGGGATGTTGGAATCCCAGAACTCACTTGATAAAAGTCCTAACTTTGGACGTTTCGTGTTTTCGCGCATAGGTTACTTAGTTGACCTTGAGATTACATTCCCCACCAATGAAATCCTTGACTTTGACTGGTTGATGTGTTATTTTAGCACGCTATTTTTATGGCTCTCCCAAGGACGTTTCTATCATGTATAAATAAACTAGATTTGTGTGCTTGTCAACCTCATATTTTCTGGGTGTTCGTAGAATACACTCTATACGCTTTATCGAAATTTCTTGCTTTTGTTAACCTGGACTGGGAAAAGAACAGCCTATCTTGTCACTGCATTATTTGTCTTCGCTCCCGTTTACCGAGAAAGGTAAACTTGTAATAGTTTCAAGCATGTCAAATGACAAGCATATCAGATAGAATATATAGACAAGGATTTATACACAATATTCATTAGGTAAACAGACTTGCTCTTCCATTCTCGCCTTCTCAGTGAGGCAGTCAATTTGAGGTTTTAGCATGTATCGCGTTCAGATCTTGGATACCGCCTATCATAACACTGATGTATGTTCATTTGTATAGACTAACTTAATCAATGAAGTTCAGTCAGAATTAAACAATATCATGAAACATTACTTTAATTTAACAATTTTAAATCTTTAATTTTATAAGTCAAATATAGTTTTAATTTCATGAGACGAAATGGACTCGGAGCAAGACACGAAAACAGTGTTCTGTCCACTAAATAATTTTGGATATGACGATTATACTATACAAACGCTTATTTAAAACGACATGGGTTTCAGAGGACCATTCTACAGAGAAGCGATATGACAGTCTTTCTTCAGGATATCGATAAACTCAACGAATTCAAGATATCCCCCAGTAATAAGCTCCAATCATTAAAAGATATACTGGTTGGTGGCCTGTGCTCAATGACAAGTAAGTGAAGTATTCAAGTAATGTACTTCTACTGTTTTCATATTAGAAAATCTCTACAGAGTTCATCGAATGATTGAAACAATAATAACGAGCAAGTGTAGACTCCAGTCAAAAAAGAATATTGTGCGATTTCTCTCTTTGATAATCTCCCTATAATCCAATATCTCTTATCAATTATTCTAAAAATTCATTGACGTTTTGGCAGCAATACTCCATTTCTTGTTCATTTCATAGAAATCACGAATTGACCGGTTTTAGACCATCATCAGCAAAGTAGACGGCCATTTTGTCCTAGTATGAGACTCATCGGCAGTGTACATCCACTACTATCAATCGAAGACAGATAATAACACTGTCGCATTCCGTATCAGTGGTCTAGGAGTGAAACATTCAAACGTGAGACCGAAAGTCCCGAGTTTTAATTCCCCCATGTGACTGTCATGGATGCATACTACTGATAAGTCCCATACTAGGAAGTGACGACTATTCAGTGCTCCCAGGTGGTCTAACTGTTAGGATTTTCATCCAATATCCTAAGAGAGTTATTGGTCAATTCTTATTGGTTAATTCCTAATGGTCAATTTTATGGTCGTCCTAGATATCAACGTCACGTTCTCCAATGTAGTTTCTTATTGGTTGTCCTGACCATAAATGTCACTTTAAATGTTACTTCCTATTGGTCGTTTTAACTGGCAATGTTACAGACTTCGATACTGATTCCTGTTCGACAAAAATGTATAAATACGCATTATCTGTAACGTTTTGTGACCACAACCAGGACCAGGACCCGGTCCCGAATCCCTAGTCCGGGATCCTGATTCTCTTCTGGACTCGTACCTCGTACTTTCTGGATGCTTTTAGAATACAGGTTCTACTTCATATCAAGTCTTCTTATTTTTACTCAATATGGGGTTGGGATAATCGAAATTGAGTAGCATATTTTGTTACCGGGTCCTCAATCCCCCCTCTTGTTTTCCGACCAAGGTAAACTCGTAATAATTCAAGTATATCAAGATGATGTGTTTACGTGCAGGCAAAGCACTAACATAGCTTGACTCGTGATTTAAATAGAATTCCTGTGATCAACCAAACATTTTTAACAGTGATTATTTTCATCGATTTCATACGGATGTAAATTATATAAAAAAAACTATGAAACCCATTAATGAAAGTAAATTGACGTACAGTTCTTGCAAGTTCTTTCAATAATTCTTTTCGTCTTTGCCATTTAGACTCGTCCGAAATATCTGTCAAACAATCGGTTAAAGAAAAACAAAGAATTTAACTACAATGATATCATGAATTGATCAATGTTAGACAATTGCTAGAAACATGGAAGTACTGAGTGGCCGTCAAATTTTAGCACGGGACTCGCCGACAGTACTTATCCTCAACCCCTACTCTCGGGAATCGAACTCGCTTGATAAATATGCCTTATTTTGGATTTCACATATGCCAGTATGGGCTGATCAGTTGACCTTGAGATTTCATTTACCACCAGCAAAATCCATGGCTGTGATTGGCTGCTGTGTATTTTAGTGTGCTATTTTCGTAACTGTCTCAAGGACGTTTCTATGATGTATAAATAAACGAGAGTTGTGGGCTTGATTGTATTGTGATTGCTGTGTGTTTGTAGAATATACTTTCTACGCTTACCATGCCTTCTTATTTGCAGTTTGGGATTCAAGGTAGCCTATGTGGACAAAAGTAATTGTCTCGTTCGCGTTTATTGACTAAGGTGAACTCGTAATAGCTTCAAGCATACCTAGTGACGAACATAACACAAACCCAAGACCTTCAGTATCGTGCTCGAATGCTTAACCTCTAGACCGTTGAGTCGGCATCTAACTTCAATCAGTCTACCGTCTCTTGCAACCTCACCTATAGTCTTCAGTTGGAAAGTGCATATACACTACAGGGTTGAACCCAAATGGACACGGCTTCTCATTAGAACTACGAGAATTTCCTCACGAAGTTAGTCACTAATGAGCATATTTTTATCAGTTTCATGATAGGGTCTTGAAGACAATTTAACTATGTATTCATTTGATTCGGAAGGTGTTTTTTTTCCTTACCACGTCCACCGTATTGATTCTTTATTGGGATGATAAGTTTACATTTGGATTAATTGAATTTAAATAGAGTTTATTTAACAGAATTAAATGTCCTTTTTTACTTATGGTGGAAGAAATAAGAGTTTAATTCAAAAAATATTCCTTGTATGTATGAAACAGGCATTCAGTGCTTCTGTCTTTCACTTGATTACTTACACCTGTTATCCGTGATGAAGTATAGGCTTCCGACCGCCGTTCTCCAACCTACTCTATCCTGCACCTCTGTTTCAAGTTCTATCCAATTAGTGTTCATTCTTCTCATGTCTATTCGCAATTCTCAACACAGCGTGTCTTTTGGTCTTTCTGTTTTCCTGTAGTCTTAGGGATTTCAAGCCAAGGTTTGTCTGGTGATTCATTTGAATGGTTACTGCAATGTGTCCAACCCATCTCCAGCATTTTATTTTTACCTAATTTCTTCTCTTGCCGAAATCCGGTTTGTTCGCTCCCACAGTAGATTCCTACTGTTGTTGACTTATGTCTCTTCGATGGTCACAATGATTATTAATTGTGGAAAGCTTATATTAAAATTAAATAGACCATCTTTGCGATGCTTACTGCTCTTTATATAGAATAGTTATGTAATCTTACTTGGTTTAAACTATATTTCATGGTTAGCGTTTTTTTAGCGAATTAGTTATCTACGGGACGGATTCGCTAACTCTATAGCCCAATCGTCCTTCTTTATCCAGACGTGAGATCGGAAGTAGTAACCGTAAAAGGGCTCCACGTGGAACATTGATCCTTTGCATAAATTTTATCTTTCCAACAATAATTAAATGGAAATTATAAGCCTGTTTCCTCATTATCACTGATTCACATGTTCTACCGTCGTACGTTTAATATATTTCGTATAAACTGTTTACTAGGTAGACACAGAAATGATATCTAACTGGAATTCATCGTATTTTGCTTGTACATACTCTATAATGTTCATTGAAACATGTTTATATAGAGTACGTTTTCTAATCTCATCAATTTTATTTCATAAATAAAAGATTCATTTGTGGTGCAAAAGAAGACAGTGATTTCTTAAACTCAAAACAAAAACATGAATATTTTTAAAAACCGACAATAAACATGTTATTTTAATTATCTTACCAGGGCTTTCATTGTTTCCAATTAATAATTCACAAAAATTTCTTTTCGGTAACCATTTTGTTAATAAATGTCCCACAGGACCATAACCACTAGCACATAATGCTGGAGAGAGTACTTCAGTAATCACTGGTTTTTTCAGATACTCATCTCTTATTGAATTTGACATTGAGTCAACACTACTCTCTTCTTGGTCACTT